GTGCGATTGAAACTTCGTGGTCCATGCGCAGAAGTCGGTATTTTGTGGAAGAGCCACACTCAAGGGGCCAAAGAGCCGCATGTGGCTCGTGAGCCGCAGTTTGCCGACCACTGGTCTAGGCAGAGGGACCAGCAGGTGCAAAGGCCCTGGGGTGGGTGTGCCTTGTGTGTCCAAACAGACTCCATGCTGAAGCCAAGTGGGGAGCAGAGACGTGGGGGTCGAGAGATTTTAGAATTCTGAGCTGAGTAAGGACAGACCCTGGACAGCAGGGGCAGCGAGAAGTGGGACCACCAGGGGACCGTGGGAGCTGGCAGGGGTGACGCAGGGAAGCGGGTCTCACGGGTGCCCCACCCCCTGTCCTCCAGGCATCCTCGCCTGCGCCATGGCCCAGCTGCTCTATGTCTGGGCCTTTGGGTTGAGACCCCTGCGGCCCGGCCTCCTGCTGCCCATCATCCTGGCCTCCCTCCCGTTCTCTGGCCTCCTGCTGCTGCACCTCTCCTCAAGCCTGGTCCTGCCCCTGTCGGCCTACGTGCTGGCCCTGTCCACCGTGCTGTGGCGCGGCCTGTGCCCCTTCCAACTGCTGTCCATCTTCCTGGCCTCCCTCCCGTTCACCTTCCTCCTGCTGCTGCACCTCCCCCCAGACCTGGTCCTGCCCGTGTCGGCCTATGCGCTGACCCTGTCCACCATGCTGTGGCGCGGCCTGGCCAGGGGCGGGAGCGCCCGCTGGGGCGCCCTGCTCTTCGCCACCTCCGACTCCCTGCTGTCCTGGCACACCTTCATCCAGCCGCTGGCCCACGGCCGCCTGCTGATCATGACCACCTACTACGCTGCCCAGCTTCTCATCACCCGGTCGGCCTTCCAGAGCCCCAAGCTCAAGACTGACTGACCAGGGCCCCGATGGGCCAGCGTCCGCCCACTCCCCTCCTGCAGGGACCCGGGACCAGACGCCCGTGGGGGCCGGAGCCAGGCTCCCGGACTCCCGTCTGCAGGCGTCTGTCCACCTGTGGGAACCGTTTGCAGAATTTCGGATGCACCGCCGAGTTCCGAACACCTTCCCTTCGTTCTGATTCCGGGTTCCAGGCCCCTCAACCAGGCCCAGGCTGGGCCTCCCCAAGCCCCGCCCGCTCCTGTGACCTCCGGGGGCCCCGAGTCTGTAGGGAAGCATGGGAGACTCGGTTGGAAAGTCTGTAAGAAGGAAATTCCAAAAAGGGTCGTGGGCTGAAGGCGGACCACGCTGTTTATCGGAATTCCGACTTGGAGTTTGGCCAAAGCGGCCGCCCCTATTGTTCCATGACCTTTCCCACCCAGTCCGTGCACGTGCGGCCCCCCAGGTGTTTGCCGGATCCTTATGCTTAATCTTTGCATGTCCTTGCCTAGAGGACACTGCAGAAACGTGCCCTCCCATGATTGCCCTGCTGACTGTATCTAAAAGGTAAACTGTATCTCAAACTGTATCTCAAAACTGCAATAAAAGCCTGAGGAGGCAGGCGAACGGGGCTGTCTGGTTCCTTCAGCCAGGCCGTCCCTTAGCCCTCTCTTTCACAGCAACCGTGTCAGAGGAGTCATTCATCCGTCGCTCCGGGGCTGCTGGTCAGCCAAGCAGGAGGCCACTGGCCCCCGCCCTCTGGCCTTTGAGCCAAACCACTATCCACTGAGCCAAACCGGCTAGGGTGGGGCCCGCTGGCTGAGTCTGGTCCTGCTGCTGTCAGCCCCCGGCCGGGCAGGTCACTCAGGGCCTGGTCTCCTTGGGTGGGGTGCTCCTCGGGGCCACGGGGCCCCCAAGGGAAGTGTCCGCTGAGTGCAAGAAAGAGGTCACTTTTGAAGAATGAGCCTGTGATGCCCTGAGGCGGGCAGTGGGCTCCAGGGACGGGCAGGCGGGCACAGCTGAGACAGGGTTCCTGCTCCGCTCGGTCCCCTCGGGCACCTCTGTGAGGGCTGGGCAGGCAGGAGGCGAGGGCAGGACCTCAGCTCTACGAATGTCCCCCCATGGCGGGCCTGCGCCACGAGCGGGGAGTGTTAGCGAGTGGGGATGGTTGCAGAGACGCAGCTGTGGATAGCGGATAGCCAGGGCGCGTGCGTGAAGGAAGGAGCAGCAGGAGGCAGCCTGTCTCAGCCTCCTCCCCACCCCTGCTCCTCCCCCAGCGCGCCTTTCGACAAGACATCACCTTTTCCCTCAACGCCGACGATGAGAACGTGAGTGGCGCCAGTCCTCGGGGTGGGGGCTGTGGGCAGTGCCGCCCACCCACCCTGCCGCCTGCACCCCACAGCCCAACACCAACCTGCTGGAGATTTGCTACAAGGACCGGATCCAGCAATTCGATGATGACGAGGAGGAGGAGGGCCAGGGCTCTAGGGAGTCCGATGGGGAGGACGATGCCTGGCAGGGCAGCCAGCTGGCCAGGGGGCCCCGCCTGGGCCAGCCCCCAGGTGTGCGGTGAGTCCGTCCACCTCCTTTTCCGGGCCTTGTGGCATCGCGGGGGCTGCGGGGCAGTTCTCATGGGCTCGAGGGCACGAGCAGCCCGTGGGATGGAGCGTGTGTGCCAGTTGGGGCCTCTCGGTTCTGAGGAACAGGAGTTGGGTCATGGCTTGTGGCTGCAGCTCCTTCAAGTCTGCCTGATCCAGGTGCTCCCTCAAGTCTGCCTGATCCAGGTGCTCCCTCAAGTCTGCCTGATCCAGGTGCATCTGCAACCAGCACCCACCCTCCGTCCCTGGACTCCGCTCTCAGGGCGGAGCTCATGCAGGCGTTCCCAGAACGGCGGCAGATGGTCCCACCAGCTGCCCCACCCCCTCATTTCAGTAACATGACAGGTGATGCCCTGGCCAGTGTGGCTCAGTGGATAGAGCATCGGCCTGCAGACTGAAGGGTCCCAGGTTCGATTCCGGTCAAGGGCACATGCCCGGGTTGCGGGTTCGATCCCCAGTGGGGTGTGTGCAGGAGGCAGCCGATCCATGAATCTCTCTCATCATGGATGTTTCCCTCTCTCTCTCCCCCGTCTCCCTTCCTCTCTGAAATCAATAAAAATATATATTTTTTAAAATGACAGGTGATGATGGTCCCTTCCTCACAGGCCGAGCGTCAGGAAGCTGCGACGTTGGGTTGTTTCCCTCCATACTGGCTGGCCCAGCGTCCCTGCCCCATGTGGCCTACCCTGGAGGGTTCCTGGTGGGAACAGCTTTGCCCTGGGGCTTCTGGTGGGAGCACTAGAGGGTTTTACCTTTTTAATGAGGTGGGACGAGCATGCTTGCCTGCCCGGGGTCCCCTTAGTCACCCCAACATCACGTGTCCGCTGTTCCGCCCTCCTCTGTCCGGCCACGGAAGGGACCCTGCAGCCCTTGGCTAACCCTGTCCCCTGTGGTGGCGCGGTGGGTGCTGGGAGGTGGCCGGGGAAGCCGGGCTCTAGGCGTGCCTTCCAGAGGGAATCCAGTCCAAGAACAGACCAGGAGCCTTCACCCCCAGGCCCCGGGGAGCCTTGCTTCGTGACCTCCCAGGCTGCCCGGGGCTGCGGGCCCCAGGCCGGTGGTGACCTCTGGGGGCCAGTCGTCATAGGCATTTGTTAGATCAGGAAGTGTTTGTGTGGAGGTGCTGTGGGGTACAGGGCGGTGCAGGCCCCACAGGAGGGAGGCCAGTGCTGGAGGGCTGGGGAAGGAGGGCTGGGCCCGGCTGGGCGCGGGGCTGCGAGGGGAATTGGCCCCCACAGCCCACTGCGATGGGGAGGAAGCCTGGTCCCGGGGTCCAGGGCAGGGGCTGTGGGGGAGGAGGGACCCCAGCTTGGGACGGGCACCTTATCTGCAGGTGCCAGTGAGAGCCATCCCCGGGCGGGGGCAGCATCTCCCGGCGCTGTTATCAGCCCCAGAGTCCACAGGACGCTCCCGGGTTAACGTGTAACCGCTCGCCGGCCCTCCACCCCCAGAGCCATTGGTGCCCAGGCTGCGGCCACTCTGCGTGGGGGTCTCAGGCTGTCATGGACGTCCGCAGGGAGAGGCCGCCCCGCAGCCCTGACTCCTCAGCCCAAGTGAGAGCCCCTGAGTGTGGGAGGGGGGCTCGGGCTGGGCCTGGGCTCCCGGGGACCCCAGGAGGCTGGAGGAATTGGGGGTCTTGGCCTCCCCAGAGGCTGGGTTCTATGGGGCTGGATGTCCTGGGGTCCCTGAGTGGGGGTGTGGGTGGGAGCCCCGAGACCTGAGTCCTGGCCAGGTGGGTCCTATCCTGGGATCCCTGAATGGGGGTGGGGTGGGGGGAGCCCCGAGACCTGAGTCCTGGCCAGGTGGGTCCTGTCCTGGGATCCCTGAATGGGGGTGGGGTGGGGGGAGCCCCGAGACCTGAGTCCTGGCCAGGTGGGGCCTGTCCTGGATCCCTGAGTGGGGGTGGGGTGGGAGGAGCCCCGAGACCTGAGTCCTGGCCAGGGCTGGGGGCGCTGGAGCCTCCTCCAGGGGCTGAGCCGCGCCTTGTCCAGTAGCAGCCGCACCTGGGCAGCCTGAGCCCCTTCTTCCTCACCTGCACCGCCTACTTCCTCCTCTGGATCCCTGAGGACCCGCCGTCCAGGGTGGGCGCCCTGGTCAAGTGCCTGCCGGTGCTGTGCCTGGTGAGGCTTCTGCGGGCGAACCCAGGCTCCGGCTCCAGCGGAGGCTACAGCCTTCGCCTGCAGGTGGCCCTGCTCTTCTCGGCCCTCCGGGATGTCTTCCTTATCTGGCCAGAGAACTTCCTCTATGGTGAGCTGGGGAGCGGGCCGCACTGACCCTTTCCGACCCCCACGCTAGGGTCCCTGGGTGCGGGGCGACTCCCTGATAGCCTCTGCCGGGAGCCAGGGGGCGTTCCCAGGCCCTGAGGCCCAGCAGTGACCAGCACACACCCAGACCCCTGCCTCGGGGAGCTCAGCCTGACCTGGGCAGGTGTGAGTGGCGGGTGTGGAGGGACCAGCAGGTGCAAAGGCCCTGGGGTGTGTGTGCCTGGTGTGTGCGTCCAAACAGACTCCATTCCGAAGCCAAGTGGGGAGCAGAGAAGATGGGGGTCGAGGGACAGTTCTGAGCAGAGTAAGGACAGACTCTGGACAGCAAGGGCAGGCGGAGGCGGGACCACCAGGGACAAGTGGGAGCTGGCAGGGGTGACACAGGGAAGCGGGTCTCACGGGTGCCCCACCCCCTGTCCTCCAGGCGTCCTCGCCTTCGGCATGGCCCAGCTGCTCTACTCCTGGGCCTTTGGGTTCAGCCCCCTGCGGTCCGGCCTCCTGGTGCCCATCGTCCTGTACTCCCTCCCGTTCTCCGGCCTCCTGCTGCTGCACCTCCCGCCAGACCTGGTGCTGCCCGTGTCGGCCTACGGGCTGGCCCTGTCCACCATGCTGTGGCGCGGCCTGGCCAGGGGTGGGAGTGCCCGCTGGGGCGCCCTGCTCTTCGCCACCTCCGACTCCCTGCTGTCCTGGCACACCTTCATCCAGCCGCTGGCCCACGGCCGCCTGCTGATCATGACCACCTACTACGCTGCCCAGCTCCTCATCACCCTGTCGGCCTTCCAGAGCCCCAAGCTCAAGACCCACTGATTGGGGCCCCAGCGGGCTGGGATCCACCCACTCCCCTCCTGCAGGGACCAGACGGGGAGCCACCCATGGGGGCCAGAGCCAGGCTCCCAGACTCCCGTCTGCAGGCCGCTGTCCACCTGTGGGAACCCTTTGCAGAATTCCGGATGCACCGCCGAGTTCCGAACACCTTCCCTCGGTTCTGGTTCCGGGTTCCAGGCCGCTCAACCAGGCCCTGGCTGGGCCTCCCCAAGCCCCGCCCGCTCCTGTGACCTCCGGGGGCCTTCAGAGTCCGCTGGCCCCCTCCCTCTGGCCTTGATCTATTTCCCTGTTGCCTGAGTAAAGGGAAGGAGGAAACAGCATCTCCTTTATTTGGGGAGGGTAGGGGGGAGGCATGGTCAGAGTCACAGCAAAAGGGTATTTCTTCTTTTTCTTCCTTACAACAACATTTTCCATTAAAAAAATCCAAAAAAAAAAAAATCCATGTTTTTATTGATTTCAGAGAGGAAGGGAGAGGTAGAGAGAGAAACATCAGTGATGAGAGAGAATCATTGATTGGCTGCCTCCTGCATGCCCCCTAAAGAAAGGCAGCTATGGCTTTACCAAGGACCCCAGGGTGTGGTGGCCGCTTTGGGGAACTGAGCTGGGGGCCTGGATGTCACCAGGACCCTCCCTTCTGCAGGCCGCCTATTTCTTGCTCAGTTAGTGACTGTGACTTCTTGGTTCCTGAGTCAAGGCTTAACCAATGAGCAACACTGGCCAGGCAAAATTTTTACTTTTTTTAAAAAAAATATATTTTATTGATTTTTTTATAGAGAGAAAGGGAGAGGGATAGAGTTAGAAACATGGATGAGCTGCCTCCTGCACTCCCCCTACTGGGGATGTGCCCGCAACCAAGGTACATGCCCTTGACCGGAATCGAACCTGGGACCCTTCAGTCCGCAGGCCGACGCTCTATCCACTGAGCCAAACCGGCTAGGGCAGATTTTTCCATTTTTAAGTGAGTGATTTGGTAACATTAAGTTCAGTCACAGTGGTATGCACTGAATTTTTTAAAAAATATACTTTTATTGATTTCAGAAAGGAAGGAAGAGGGAGAGAGAGATAGAAACATCAATCTGCTGCCTCCTGCACACCCACACGGGATCGAGCCCGCAACCCGGGCACGTGCCCTGATGGGGAATGAAACCATGAAATCCTGGTTCATAGGTCGATGCTCATCCACTGAGCCTCGCCCAGCCAGGCCCTTTTATTGTTGTAGTGAGAACACTTACTGCGAGGTTCACCTCAGGTGACATTTCTGTGTGCACCATGCAGTATTGTTGGCTATACACACAGTGAATTTGCCCGGGGCCCAGGGCGTACGGGACAAGGACTCACTCCCAGTGGCTTTGATGGCGGTGGGAGGCGGGATTCCTATGTCCACGGTTGGGATGAGGGTCTAGACCTGAGGCCCGGAGGACACTTTGGTCCTTGTGTGTGTTCCTGTGGCTGCCGTCACAAATGACCACACACCGGGGCTTAAAACAACAGGAGTTTGGCCTCTCACAGTTCTGGAGAGCAGACGTCCAATGTCAAGGTGTGGGCAGGGCCACACGGCGCCCCAGGCCCTGGGGAGGGTCCTTCCTGCCTCTCCAGCTTCTGGTGGCCCC